TTATGAGTATTCTAAATATGTATTTAGTATCTTGATGCATGCATCTATTGAAAAGATATGACAAAACCAAACTTTGTCCCACTGTCGAGGGTTCGAATCCCGCTGTGGGCGTTGAATTTTTTTTTTCTTTGTTTCTGTCTTTTTTCAGTTGCAAATAACTTTTCTCTCTTTTTTAACATATACGGAAGATTTTGCCGATTTTTAAAAGCTATTTTTGAGATATTTTGAGGAATACCTGTAATAATTATGAAATATGTTAAGAGGCTGCTGTAAATGAACGTAAACGAAAAAAAAATACATTCTGAAATTTCATGGAATGACGCGGCATAGAATTCTAACGAAAATCGGTCGGAAGACCTGCTTGTTGCTCTAGCAACAAGAACGCATCTAGTTTTTTTTCTTATTTGTTCTCCGGTACTTTTTTGTCCGCGAGTGTTCTCAGAAACTGTTCACCCAACTGACCTAAAACCTTTTTAGGGTTAATAGGTGTGTAGTGTAGGTGTGCGGAACGAAGGTCATTTTGCGCGCATACGCCTGCACGTGCAGGCGCGTGATATGAGTGATATGACTAATATATTTAATATAGCCATAACTTTAACATTTTTCGATAAAATGCTTTGAAACTCATTATATAAGGATATATAAGTAGTGTACATAATGTGACACTGTCAAATTAGCACGAACTCACGCGCATGCACGTGCGCTTCGCTCTGATTGGCTGAAACAAAAATGTCAGTATCGTCTCTGTTTTTTGACGAAATGCTTTGAAATTTAAAACATAGTCATGAATTAGGATATCCTACAATATGATATAGAAAAAAATTCATGAAATCACGCGCATGTACGTGTGCTGCAATCTGATTGGCTGACACTTTAAATGACTATATCGCCTTTGTTTTTAGTCGAAATGCTTTTAAATTTAAAACATAATCATACATTAGGATGCTCTGCAATATGATATACAAAAAATTTCAAGAAATTACGCGCATGCACGTGTGATGCTATCTGATTTGCTGAAACTTTAAATGACTATATCTCCTTTGTTTTTTGACGAAATGCTTTGAAATTTAAAACAAGATCATTCATTAGGATATCCTACAATGCGATGTAGAAAAATAATTATGAAATCACGTGCATGCACGTGTGCTGCAATCTGATTGGCTGAAACTTGAAGTGGCTATAACTCCCTTGTTTTTCAACCAAACAGGATGGGATTCAGAACATAGATGAATATAAGGGACTCCTACAAGAAGGTTTGGTCATCATGCACGTGCATGCATGTGCGTGCATTTGGAACGAATGAAATTAGAAATACACTTGAATTAGTGATTTTTGATACTTTTAGACTGAATGCTTTCACCTATAGTATATTACAGGGAATATGGCACTAAAAGGGAGTTGGGGAGCGTTTGGGGAACATCTGTAACGGTTCCCGTTACAATTAGCACTAGTTATTATTTTTCTTCTTCTTCCTGGGTACTTTTTTGTCCGCGAGTGATCTTGTAAACTGTTCACCCGAAGTAGGTAAAACCTTTTCAGGGTTAGTAGACATGTTATGTAGATTTGCGGAATCAAGGTCATTTTCCGCGCACGTGCTTGCAAGAGCGTGCACGTGCAACACTTAAAATGACCAATATAATAGATATAGCCGTAACTTTTCTATTTTTTGACTTTTTGCTTTGAAATTCATAATATAAGTATATATTAGTTGTATAGGCATGATGGCATGTTCCTCGCGCACGTGCTTGCAAGAGCGCGCACGTGCAACACGTAAAATGACTAATATAATAGATATAGCGGCAACTTTTCTATTTCTTGATGAAATGCTTTAAAACTCATAATATGAGGATATATAAGTAGTATAGACATTATGACATGGTCAAAATAGCAAGATCTCACGCGCATGCGCGTGCACTTTGCTCTGATTGGCTGAAACAAAAGTATCAATATCTTTCTTGTTTTTTGACAAAATCCTTTGAAATTTTGAACATATTCATACTCTATAAAGATCTACAGCATGATATATAAGAATTATCATAAAAACATGCGCACGCACGTGTGCTGCAATCTGATTGGCTGAAACTTTAAATGTCTGTAACTCAACGAAACGGGATGAAATTCAGAAATATGAATAGGTATAATTGATTTCTACACTATGCTTCTATCAAATTTAAATGCAAGGACATGCATGCATGCACATGTGCATGTGCAATACGTAAAATCAGCAAAATATTTGAAAAATGGTAACATTTATATTTTTATGATATTTTGATTGATTCTCACGATATAAACATAGGTTAATGATTTAAACAACCTGCCTTGATAATTTTGCATGTGCATGCAAGTGCGTGCGCGTGCAATACGTCAAATGGGATATAGTTGATATCATTGTAGTTTTGATAATTCTTTGATGAAATCCTTTGATACTGTGCATATTTTTTTAAAAAAAATTCTTACAGGAAAATGGAACAAGAAGGGAGTTGGGGAGCGTTTGGGGAACATCTGTAACGGTCCCCGTTACAATTAGAACTAGTTATTATTATTAAGGTCTTCCGTCTTCAGCGGAAGACCTTCTTGTTATTCGTTTGTTTCTTTTCCACTGTTTTTCTTCTTATTTTTTTTCTTACCGATTTTGTGCACGCGATTTCTCGAAAACGGCTCGTTAGATTTTTATGAAACTTTCAGGTCCGATAGAACATTAAAAAATCTCGATACCCTTTTTTTTATTTTGATGACGTCACTTCCGGTTCGAAGATTTTCGCATTTTTGTGATTTTTAAGGGTCAGTTTGTCCGTCGCTCTTCTTAAAAACGGCTCATCACAGGAAGATGAAACCTCTTCAGGAAGATAGAGCAACATATGTAGATTTGCATTGCGTTGTTAACTTTCACCGGAAGTACCGCACGTTAACGCTCGGTATGGTCTGAGAAAAATCATATTGAGCGTTTCAAAATTTCTAACACTTTTTCTATTATATCATTTTACTTGTAAATATTTTGTAAAAACATATAGGACAAAAGTTGTGAAAAAATTTCGACTTCTTTCAATTGATATCTCGAAAAAAGGGCTGACCCCTAAAATAAGGGATCTAGAGGGGCCAAAAGTTTTTAATTGATATCTCAAAAAGTATTGAGTATTTGTAATACGTCAAAGAAGCAAAGTTGTTCAAAATTTCAAGCTTAATCTATTTGTGTCGTCAAAATACGTCCGGCGTCCTCACTTCCGGTCAAACCGGAAGTAGTCAAAAACGCATATTTTTGCCGTTCTTGTAAAGTTTTTGGGTAACATATGTCTCTGGGAGCATAAGAATTAATTTTTCCGTCCGTCGTCATCACTTCCGGTTAAACCGGAAGTAGCAAAAATTTGCATATTTTGCATTAATTAACATACCTTTAGAGGATTCAAACCATTTTTAGGCGTTATTTCTCTTTCTTTTTTTAAATTTAAAGCTTCTTCCGGTCAAACAGGACAGAAGACCTACTCGTTGCTTTGCAACGAGCTCGGCTCTAGTTATTATTATTATTATTATTCCTGGGAAAATTTTGTCCTCGAGTGATCTTGTAAACTACACATCTGACTAAGGTAAAATGTTTTTAGGGTCAGTAGACATGTTATGTAGATTTGCCAAACAAAGGTCATTTTGCACGCACGTGCTTGCAAGAGCGCGCACGTGCAACACGAGAAATGCCCAATATAATTGATATAGAGGTAACTTTTTCAATTTTTGATGAAATGCTTTGAAACTCGTAATATAAGGATAAATTAGTAGCATAAACAATATGACATGGTCAAAATAGCAAGATCTCACGCGCATGCACGTGCGCTTCGCTCTGATTGGGTGAAACTAAAGACTCAATATCTTTCTTGTTTTTTGACGAAATTCTATGAAATTTTGAACATAGCCATGTATTGAGATATCCTACAACACGAAACATAGCAATAATTATGGAAATACGTGCATGCACGTGCGCTGCAATCTGATTGGCTGAAACTTTAACTAGCTATAACTCTCTTGGTTTTCAACCAAACAGGATGAAATTTGGAACATAGATAGATATAATAAAATTCTACAAGATGATAGGGACACCATGCACATGTATGCATGCACGTGCAAGTATGTGCGCTGCAATCTGATTGGCTGAAACTTTAAACAGCTATAACTTCCTTGGTTTTCAACCAAACGGGATGGGATTTAGAACATAGATAGATGTAATTGACTTCTACAAGAAAGTATGATCACCATGCTCGTGTATGCACGTGCGTGCACGGGAAATATTTAAAGTCAAAAATACACTTGAATGAGCGTATTTTTTAAAAATTTCGGTTAACTACTTTAATATTTAGTATAAATAATATATAGATTGTGTACACAAGATGATATGGCCATTACTTATATGCATTCACATGCGCACGCGTGCATTGTTAAAATTTGAATGAACTTGGTACACTTCTAGGTAAACGTTGTTTAAGTCTCAAGTTTGTCTTCTTTAATGAAGCTTACCGGGAATACGGCACCAAAAGGGAGTTGGGGAGCGTTTGGGGAACATCTGTAACGGTCCCCGTTACAATTAGCACTAGTTTAGTTAGATAACACTACTTATCAACAATCCGACGTAAATTATGGCTGCACAAACGCATATTTTGTTTTTATTGCTGATATGGATTATCTTAGCTAAGGTACTTATAACTACTACTGTTGTTTCTAGCGACCCAAGATATTGAAATTCCCGACATTTTTCCATTAAAAAATCTGAAAGCAATATACGATAAAGTTTCTATCATATATGAACTATGTTAATTTCAATAGTTCCCGCCCATGTTCTTCAACTATCATTGATGCCCTGGCATATCCAACAAACTAGACAGCGATTCCTTAGAAACAAATTTAAAAATGTAGTAAGAAAAAATGAAATACGTCCAAAGCTTTTCAAAATAGTGAAAATACTAAATACGTGCATGTACATGTGCTCCACCTTATTTTATTCATTTTTACTTTTACAGATGTCAGTAGGGAAGATAACATTCTTCATCCACATAGATGAAGTGAGGATTCCCGGTAATAAACTTCACGGAGGAGGATGTTGTCAGGGAGTGGTCGGTACCCAGTGTACCAAGTTGTGTAAACCTGTACTCACCGTATGTCTTAAGTGAGTGATGTATATGACTTTTCTGACTTTGATAATATACTGAACATTCGCACAAATATTTTGATGATTTTATTTTTTATTGCTACAGAAACAGTAATCATCCCTGTGTGTCTAGTTTTACCACAACATTAGACATGAAACGACAAGGCGTCTTCTATGGATCTAAAGTCGGGAATACAACCAACCCACAGTTTTTAGAAATTGATTCATGGGTAAATCTAATTTGACACAAATATGTACACTGGAATACTTTTTTTTATTTCTTGTACAGTCAATTGATTATACTTTGTATTCAATAACTGTTATCTTATAAATTTAGAAAAATTATCAGGACAAGATATCAGTGAGAGTTGTAGATTTACAACTCTCCTCCTCACCACTCATCTACCAGACAGAGTTCTCGGACTACAATATAAGACTAGGAGACAATGCACTTTCACAACACTGGCGACAGAAGAGATTGACAGCATTTTTTATATTGGATAAAAATACTTTTTTGTAAGACAGCGTTTGCTCTTTATTCACACAAACTGAATAAACAATCATCACAATAAGACAACTTAAAAAAATATATTTTTACTATAAAAATGTCACATGACTGTACAGAAAAGAATTACAGTGATGCTATAAAAAATTTACTCTTATTCAGTATCCAGTTAACGTACAAGGCGTACTGTTCTGAGGGTTACTATGGATCAGACTGTACAGACCATTGTCCTGGTAATCCACAGAAGTGTGTCGTCAACGGTCATACCTACTGTAAAATGGGTAAGATATTCATACCTACTGAATAATGGGTAAGCTGATTTAAAACAATCTTACAATTGCTAAAGATTAAAAGTTGTCATAAAATTGTCCAATATACAGCAGATTGCTTGTATACTCAAAATCTACTTTTTATAACTGTAATAATGAGTCGGCGTTTTGTGTATTCACTGCCTTAAAGTGATATCACCTACCAGTATTTGATTGAATTGGTGATTATATGACTAAATTGCAAAAAATACCCAAAAAAAAAAAAAAAAAAAAACGCGCCTCATACGAAAGGGTAATGAAAGAAAGCATTTTCTTTTTGCATGGTTTAGTTTTGAAAATTGATAAACTTGGAAAAGACCACAACTGACAAAAAACTTTTAAAGTTAGAAAATATTTTTAGCATGCATTTTAAATGCGTAATTTGAATATTATAATAACAAACTGCACCACAGAGCACATCTTATTCTAGTATGTGTGTCGATGTTGATATATGTTGTAGGTTGGCATGGAAATAACTGCAATCAGGACATAAATGAATGTGCTACTCGACAGTTTTGTGGACATGGAAACTGTACAAATACAGTTGGTA